CAGCATACAGTGGTTGTACAATATAAAACTCCAATAAATTATACACGACACTAAATATTAAATTATTTAATTCCAGCAAATTGTTCTGGATACCAAGTTTCCACTATTTTCCACTTCTTCATTATTATATTCTGTATTATATTCCTTCATGAGTAGCGATTCCAGCATGTACTACAGCAGGAAACAAAAATTGGATGAATGTAGGATAAAAAAATCTGCATTATTCTATTCCAGTAGTAATTACAGGATATAGTGGTTTTACAATATAACACTCCAGCAAATTATACAGGAAACTAAAAATTAAATTATTTAATTCCAGCAAATTGTTCTGGATACCAAGTTTCCACTATTTTCTACTTCTTCATTATTATATTCTGTATTATATTCCTTCATGAGTAGCAATTCCAGCATGTACTATAGCAGGTAATAAAAATTGGATGAGTATAGGATAAAAAAATCTGCATTATTTCATTCCAGTAGTAATTACAGGATATAGTGGTTTTACAATATAACACTCCAGCAAATTATACAAGAAACTAAAAGTTAAATTATTTAATTCCAGCAAATTGTTCTAATTACCAAATTTCAACTATTTTTCACTTCTCCATTATAATATACTAGATTATATTACTTCATGAGTAGCAATTCCAGCATGTACTATAGCAGGTAATAAAAATTGGATGAGTATAGGATAAAAAAATCTGCATTATTTCATTCCAGTAGTAACTACAGGATATAGTGGTTTTACAATATAAAACTCCAGTATAATATACAGGAAACGAAATATTAAATTATTTAATTTCAGTAAATTGTTCTAATTACAAAATTTCCAGTATTTTCCACTTCTCCATTATAATATACTGGATTATATTCCTTCATGAGTAGCGATTCCACACAGGTGATGTCCTGTATATTATACTGGATTGAAACAACTGAACTATATGCTATCCCAAACTCAACTCCTCCAGTATAATATAATGGAAAAAAAGATTACACACAGGTGATGTCCTGTATATTAAAACTCAATTATGTGCTAGACCAAACTCAACTCCTCCAGTATAATATAATGGAAAAAAAGATTACAAACAGGTGATATCCTGTATATTATACTGGATTGAAACAAAACTCAACTATATGATATCCCAAACTCAACACCTCCATTATAATATACTGGAGAAAAAGATTACACACATGTGATGTCCCGTATATTATACTGGATTGAAACAAAACTCAACTATATGCTAGACCAAACTCAACTCGTCCAGTATAATATACTGGAGAAAAAGATTACACACATGTGATGTCCCGTATATTATACTGGATTGAAACAAAACTCAACTATATGCTAGACCAAACTCAACTCCTCCAGTATAATATAATGGAAAAAAAATTACACACGGGTGATATCCTATATATTATACTGGATTGAAACAAAACAAAATAATATATGCTAGAACAAAGTGATAAAATTGTCAGAAACAAAACAAAATAATGAACACAAAAAATAATTATTTAAACCCTAACGGTACGGTAAATCAAACTTAAACATAACGAAACAACAATAAAAACGTGAATCAAACACATTATTGTAAAAACAAAACTCACCCAGAGAATTTTGAAGAAAATTAGAGCTAAAACGATCAAGGATTCGAAAAAAGTGCTCTGACGAAACCCGCACGCGCTGCTGTGCAAACAAAGAGTAAAAAGTTACTAAAGAGTATGTTAAAGCGTGCAAGGGCAATAATGTCATTTTACATTCTATTTTAAGTTAAAATGGCTAGAAATCAATGACATCACGGACGGTGGCTATTTTTCGATAGCCACCAGTAAAAGTGGCTATGCCACGCTATTTTGACGACAAGTTGCATCACATGGCCCTATATTGGCACTATTTGTGGAAGTAAAAGATTGAGATGTATCTATCTACAAATATTGCATAAGCGGATTTAGACCGGGTTCAAAAGTTCAGGTCCAACCCATTATATTTCGAACCACCTATATATGGGGGAAGTGCACGGTTAGCCATTAATAACACATGTATTTACTTTTAAGCCACTGTTTAAAATGTCTTTAGTCTTTAGCCACTGTTTTAATAAACTTTAACTGCCCGGACGAAAATACCCTTCTGCTCATGTCCTTAACTTTTGAACTTAACTTCAGGACATCAGGACTACATGTCCTTAACTTTTGAACTTGTAACTCTAAGTTTAGGACTTCAGGACTGCATGTCCTTAACTTTTGAACTTGAAACTCTAAGTTCCGGACTACATGTCCTTAACTTTTGAACTTAACTTCAGGACTACATGTCCTTAACTTTTGAACTTAACTTCAAGACTTCAGGACTACATGTCCTTAACTTTTGAACTTGTAACTATAAGTTCAGGACCAAGTGTCCTTAACTTTTGAGCTTGTTAGTCTAAGTTCAGGACCTATTATCCTTAACTTTTGGCTTCATAGCCTAAGTTCAGGACCTATTGTCCTTAACTTTTGAGCTTGTTAGTCTAAGTTCAGGACTTCAGGACCTATTGTCCTTAACTTTTGAACTTGTAACTGTAAGTTCAGGACCTATTGTCCTTAACTTTTGGGCTTCTTAGTCTAAGTTCAGGACCTATGGTCAAAAGTTAAGGACAATAGGTCCACATTTTCATTTGATTCACATTTTCATCGCCATTGCTGTCATCCTTATCAAAAGGCTTTTCCTTGTGAAATATACGGCAAATCTTAGAGCTCTTCTTGTTGAGGAACTCGTTATCCACTATACCTGGCTTCCATGAAACGCTCTTCTTCTTCTGTTTCAGTTTCAGAGTTAGGGTTTCTGTTGTATGGCGCTGCTGCTGTTCGGACGACGATGAGGAAGAGGATTCCAATGAGTTGTTTAGGGTTGTTGTTCCGGTAGTCGCCGGTAATGGTGATTGTCTTGCGCTTCTCGGCATTATAGGGGCTCCGTTCTATAGAAGAAAAGGTAAAAATGTCTTTTCATATTAATTTTAATAGAGTAGTGGCTATTTTTGCTCAGCATTAGAATTGCTGGATAAAAACTAAATACCACCTTAAATAGTGGCTATCCCACGCATTTTCACCCTATATATGGGGGCATTTGCATCTATACCCGCTTTTTGGGTCACGTTTTAACTTGTGTCCGCTTTGCCAAAAAAGTTGCAAGCGTACCCACTTTTTCGCGTAACTTCAGCATACGGGGCTGAAGTAGCAAAGGCAATCACGCAAAACTTCAACATTCTAGTAGACGGGCCTGAAGTAGCAAAGGCAATACGAACTTCAGCAGAAGATGCTGAAGTTATTTAGTTCATTTGTAAAAACTTCAGCACTAAATAAGCTGAAGTTTTTTTGTCTTGGATTCATTAGTTTTGTCATAAAGCTTTTTCAAACACTTCAGCAGATTATGCTGAAGTTATTTAGTCCATTTGTAAAAACTTCAGCACTAAATAAACTGAAGTTTTTTTGTCTTGGATTCATTAGTTTTGTCATAAAGCTTTTTCAAACACTTCAGCAGAAGATGCTGAAGTTATTTAGTTCATTTGTAAAAACTTCAGCACTAAATAAGTTGAAGTTTTTTTATCCTGGATTGATTAGTTTTGTCATAAAGCTTTTTCAAACACATCAGCAGAAGATGCTGAAGTTATTTAGTTCATTTGTAAAAACTTCAGCACTATATAAACTGAAGTTTTTTAAAAAGCTTTCTAACATACTAGATAGATAATAACCTTATTCTTTCATAGTGTATTACTACTATAAAATAATCAGATTGCTAACAGTATCTAAATCATAAATTTTTTAAACAATAAACGTGAAAAGAACAGAATTATCATGAAAAGAATCATTAAGTGTGACCTTAAACTTCCTGTACGTGGAAATATTCACAAATTATTGTCTACTAACTTACGTAATTATTATAATTTATTTTAAAATAATCTGATAAACATACTTATGACAATCATCCCATGAACTGAAGTTTCATAGCAGCACCAACAGCAGCAGCAGAAGAAAGAAGAAGAAGAAGAAGAAGAAGAAGAAGAAGAAGGAGGAGGAGAAGGAGGAGGAGAAAGGGGGCTGAAGTTATTTAAAAAGTGAGTACAAGTTAAAACTTTTTAAAAAAATGTGTATAGGTTAAATGGGGGCGACCAAATAGGGCACCCCGTACAATTTTTACCTATATATGTGAAAAGTTGAAGAGTATAAATATATATAATTGACGTCTATTCTTGACCCATTGAAACTCAATTTTACATTCACATGTAACAAAAGCACTTTAGATAGCTTGTTTGTGCGTCAGCTGCAACTCCATTTTTTCCGAAGAAAAATGATTATTTTACTCTGCACATGATTAGTCTTAAGTAGGTGAACTACGCGCTCAAGTAAATTTCACTTTTGTTAATTGTAGTTTCACTAAATTTTAGCAGATCGCTTATTTTTTTGGATTATTATAAATCTTTTTTCTTTTTTCTAGGTTACTAAGTTATGACAACAACATACCCAGTATTATCTCACACCGTAGGTTACTGAGCTACGCTTACTAAAAATAGTTACTTACGAATATTTCTCTCTTTGTTCCATTTTATATAAAACTCTTTTCTTTTTTGTATGCTAAAAAAAGAATGACATCTTTATATATTTTAAAACTTTTTAACTTTAAACTTTTATTTTTTTCTTAGCCGTATGTTTCCCTGGTCAGACACATGGCTTGTTTAAGACTATAAGGGTTAAGCTTACTTTTGTTATGTGCCAAAAGCCTCCCTTTCTTTCTTTTCTTAAAGTTCTTGTACCGTCAAACACCACCAAATAATATGAAATGTATTAAAGCTTCTCTGTTTCCCATTGCATCCATTACTCAGAAAAGACAAATGAAAATGAATTATGAAAATGTCAAAAATGACTGTTGAATTCTTTTATATATATATATGAGCACTTTAATAAGCTTTAACATATTCAATACACCACTAGTTTCCAGTATCCATCATCTTCATCTTGTTTAGCTTCCAAGTATGAAGAAAGCAGAGCTGGTTTTTGTTCCTGCTCCAGGCATAGGTCACCTTGTTCCCACATGCAAGTTTGCAGTGAACTTGCTCAATCTTGATGAACAACTATGTATAACCATGATCATCATTAGGCCTCAGGCGCCATTTGATGTTGGCATAGATGCATACATTCAAAGATTCTCCTCAAATACTGCTGTTGATCATCGGATCAGATTCATCAAACTTCCTCAAGTTGCACTACCACCCTTAGAAGAGTTTACAAAGTCTATGGAGAATTTCTTCTCTCTTCTCATATCAAGCTATAAACCCCTCGTCAAAGATGCTATTATCAACAACAAACACTCCAACACGAAAATAGTTGGGTTAGTCATCGATATGTTCTGCAGTTCAATGGTTGATGTAGCAAATGAACTTGGGATTCCTCCCTATATTTTCTTCACTTCTGGTGCAGGTTTTCTTGGTTTTGTGCTTTACCTCTCTCTTTGGCATAGCCAAAATGGAAGGGAATTTAGCCTCACAGATACTGATTTAGATATGCCATCCTATGCCAACTTAGTACCCTCAAATGTCTTACCAACGTTTGCATTCTATAAGGAAGGTTACACAGCATTCCTCAACCTTGGTGCCAGGTTCAAAGAAACCAAAGGAATTCTTATCAACACATTTGCTGAACTTGAACCTCATGCTGTGAATTCATTAGCATCCCACCCTGAACTACCTCCAGTATACACAATAGGACCTCATCTTGACCTTGCAGGGAAAAAGGGTAGGGAGGACAATAAGGAAGAAATCATGAAATGGCTAGAAGATCAGCCACCATCATCTGTGCTATTTCTGTGCTTTGGTAGCATGGGAACTTTAGAGGTTCTACAGCTACAAGAGTTGGCAAATGCCCTTGAACAAAGCGAGGTGAGGTTCTTGTGGTCAATAAAAATGCCCATTGGTTCTGAATATGGCAAGTTTGATGAGCTATTGCCAGAAGGATTCTTGATTAGGACTAAAGACAGGGGAATGGTGTGTGGTTGGGCACCACAAGTGCATGTTTTGGCTCACAAAGCTACTGCTGGTTTTGTATCTCATTGTGGATGGAACTCGACACTGGAGAGTTTATGGCATGGAGTTCCTATGGCGACATGGCCTCTACATGGTGAGCAGCAGATTAATGCGTTTCAGATGGTGAAGGATCTTGAGCTGGCAGTGGAGCTGAGAATGGATTACAGGATGGGGAAGATCAGTGATGGAGGAATATTGAGAGCAGAGGAGATTGAGAATGCTATAAGATGCATAATGGATAGTGAAAATCCAGTGAGGAAAAGAGTGAAAGAAATGAGGGACAAAAGCAGGGAGGTCTTGATGGAAGGTGGTTCTTCTTTTGTTTCTTTAAGACATTTCCTCAAGACCATTCTTGATGGCTAGCAATGAAAATTCATGTTGTTTGAACTAGTCTCTTACCTAGTCTATGTTTAGGGAGAAAACAACCAAGTTGCAAACATCCTGACCAGCACAGATGTACCATTATCCGAGATCTCTTGTACTACAATTCCCTGCTTTACATATGAATGTTTTTGTCAAAGATTACTTAGGGATCACGTATCTTCGGGAATTTTATGCATTTACTAAACCTTAATATGTTTAAGTTATCCTTTCGGGAGAAACACCGGTGGTTTGGTGCACCTGGCACGAGTATGTATCATAACAGGTCTTAACAGACACCTCCCCTCTTGTCTCTGCACAATGTTGATTTGGGTTTTCATTTGTTTGTCTCCCATCAAACTATACTTCCCACCAAAATTTCTGTTAATTCTACTCCTTTTGCTAGATAGTTTCTGTAATTTATTAATTATACTTACGCTGCAGAGAACAAAAGTAACTACTTCACTAACATATGGTACACTACTCATATTTTCCGTTTAAATAAAAGTTGTCACATCAACACCAGGTTTCTCAAAAATATATTACTATTGAAGCAAGATTAATTCCAACAGAACAGTAAAACACATGTATGCAATCGACTGTGCACACCAAATTTGAACAACTATAAAACAAAATGAACTAAAAAATGCATTATAATCTAGAATCAGCTCAGATACACAACCTCCGTGCAAGCACTGCAGCAACGACAATCTTCTGCAGCAGCTATCTACAAAATTCCATACCAACCTACAACAAGAATCAAAGAAACAGATGTTCTGCTGTTAGGCACAAGTGTTACTCTGTAGACGATGATGAATTCTTTTTATCCTCAATATGTTGTTCTTCATTGTCAAAATACTCTTCTTCCTCCTCTTCGACATAGTAGTACTCATCATCTTCTTCTTCATCAGTATCAATCGTATTTCCATTTTCCAGCAAATCCCTTGATTTCTGGCCTCTTGACCGTTCTTGAATTCGATCCCTGATGGCTGTTCCCTAGTAGCCATAATTTAAAATAAGAATCATCGAAGAAAGGCATATTCATGAATAGATACAACAATTCGTTGATTTTGCTCACCATTTTATGGCAACTCTCTTCGAACATCTGAAGAAATCCAGCAACCCAACGATCAGCATTTTCAATCCACTCATTGTGATGCATACCAGCTGTTTTTGCAACAGTTTGAATCTAAAATACAAGGGCACATGCACAATCATATCCATCTGAACATAATAGATCAACCAAAGAACAAGAGAAGAAGCAGCATATTCTTACTCAAGATGGATTCGATACTGAACATAATAGATCAATCAAAGTTATTGACATAGAGAAAATTTTCAGTTTAAATCACATGGTTATTGACAGTTTATGATTCCTGTCCTCCTGGTGTTGAGTTATACACCTTTAGCCTCAACTAACAGAAATGCACATTGTAGTCCCTCCACTTGCGAAGATGGCAATTTGCTAATCCACATAACTACCCATGTATTAAGTCTGTACTTTTACTCCATATTTGGTGTAATATATGTAGTCCCAATTTAACATATTTCCTCTAAAGTACACATTTCAACTGATCGAGAGTTAAATATGCTTGGATGGGATATTACAAGGACTAAAAACCAAATTTAGCGAATATTGGGGGCCCAAAGTGAAATCATCCCTTGCATAAAAGAAGAAAAGTTGCAATCAAGTAAAGAAAAAACTATAAGCAAAAGAACAATTAAGCTATTTGTGTAGTAGTATCATCCAATTGATAAGTTGTTTGATTTCAAATTTTAGTTAGATATGAATTGAATTCTATCTTAACTCTTGCCATCAATCATAAAAATGCCAGATATTACTCACATATAACCAAAGCATCATATAAATGCACACAAAAGATTGCCTTCGCATCTGACTGTACCTTTTCTCCCACTTTCTCTTGATGTTCTTTGACTTTCTCCTGTAACTTCATTAGTCTCATGTTGACCCTCAATCGCTTTTCCTAAATAAATGAAACAATATCTCATGAAAAGGCCATATCACATACCATAGGAACACCATGTGACGCAACCAAAAGGATGAAAATAAGTAAAGCAGAACATTGTATTTGAGTAAAGATCATGCCTTGACATAGCTAACACCAAGTTCCTTCCTTGAATATCCACGATCCAAATTTCGCATCACATACTTGTTATAGTCTTTAATTATTCTCATTATAACGTCTGAAGTTGAAATTCCATCAGTTCGTTTCGTTTCTTTAAATCTTCCAACAGCTTTGACCTACAAAGGAGAGAGTTAAATATTGGATGTTCAAAATCAATCAAGCAATAAATGAGCTATGAGCCTATGAGGCATGATTTCCAGAATCTATAAATAATTACTTACAAATTCATAGACATCTTTTCCCGCTCCACTAGCATCGGCATAACTATCAATTGTTTAAGCAAAAAAACAATAAGAAGAAGATGATGAAAAACCCCATATTAGATTCTTTTGAATTAACTTGTCAAAAGATTCCCCCAAGTACACAATAAGCTATAATCAAACACAGTTACATAATACACGTAATACAACTCATATAATCTCTACATGAATCCTTTTTACAGGTAAATCCACTATTTTTTCATTTTAAAGCTCCTTAGTATACTCGAGATCGTATGTTTTCTAGGTGTGACTCGTGACAATATTCACTTTCTCAAGTAAGAGGCTTATCATTCATAGTCCATTGCTTTCTCAAATTATATTTCCCCCAAACTTTTCGGGCATATACTTATGAAATGAGAGTGTGTGTGTGTGTGTGTGTGTGGGTGGGGGGGGGG